GTACATATGAACGATTGTATATGTAAAATGTATGAATATCTAGATGAATATCTTTATTTACAGGCGCGATTAGAAAACACGCGTTACATTTTTGTCATTTTAACTTGCTTTAGATCGTAAATCGAAAGCCGGTGGTATTAACACTGTCCTTTATACAGCTATTAAATGTTTTCCACATTTAGTCTATCTTTATCACTTTCAAACGGCAACAACAGAGAGCCGAAGAGACAGAAAATCAATATACGGGCTGAGGTTTACTTTACATATTTAGCCGGCATTTAAGCATGAAACACACAGAGCAGGTGCCCGTGCGTGGTGTGTTGTCATCCAAATAAATACACGGAATTAGACCCGCCGCGCTCCCGACCCGCCGCACTCCCGACACGCGCCTGACCCGCACCCGCTCTATGTGTGTTTCATGCTTTATTAATACTTACATAATTACGTGAACCAGATATAAACCAATAGATGCTGAGGTCTCTTTTAGCGCCCACAGAGCTAAGTGCTAAGTCACAGAACTGAATGCAACTGTAAAATAGCGTGCATATAGATGTACGCTGAAACTGTTTTTCTTCTGTATGTCAACTGCTACTTTACGAGTATAGTTGCTTTGTAGTCCGAATGCTGTTCGTGTGCCTTCGCAATTAAACTTACAGACAGATACAGTCAGATGATTTGGCCATAATAGAATAAGCAAGGTGCAAAGGCCGGTGTACGCTAGCTAGAGATACATAATTATCTTAAGTACATAACTAACTGTGTGTGCGTGTTCTCATTGTTTCGTAAATAAACAGGATCATTTTATGTTACTACAAATAAATAATTTATATTTGCAATTATTGCATCATAAGATAGGTGTAAGGAGACTAAAGGTTATCGAATTACGATGTGATGTGACATTGCGCTAATTAATACTTTATTATTATTTTATACACACTAGTAGTCGACCTTTGGACTTTTAGCACAGACGATTATTGGCGGGATGGTATATCGAACGATTTTTCGGAATCCCGAACTGCAAGCGCACACTGACGGCAATTATTACGGATGCAGTATAGGCACGCCTGTCCCTAATAGTTCCAGTGCCATTCAAAACTTTAAATTGCAAACATGAGGGGCTCTGCCATTGCGCCCGTCACCCTGAGACGTAAGTTGATAAGTCCCATGTGCTTGTAATTTCACCAAAAATTAGTAAGTAGTACGCCTAGAGGCGTCGTTCCTACTTTTTTTTTTAATTTATTTGGTCAGTCAACAATTGTTACACCAATAAGTTAGAAATATACATGCAAAAGCTTAAAACTAAGTGCACAATCAGTTATAGACCGACACTATTACATGCACAATAAAATTATTACAGAGTAAAAAAACTTGCAAGAGGAAAAGTACTAACATTAATTCAACAATACAAATCGCTTACAGAAAGAAATAGTGAAATATCTTAAGACTAAGTGAAAACATAAAAAAAAAGAAGTTAGGTGACAGAGTTTCAAGACGGTGGTGATGACATTACGCGCTTCGTATTTGTTACCAAGAAGTAGTGTAAATCAATTGTTGCGCTATGATCATTATACAACTTGCTAAGTCTTGTAATGGGAGAATTCGCGCCCAAAACAGTCCTGCGAAGAGGTTCGTAAAGAGGCTTAATGGGAAATCTAGGCAGTTTGCGGGGAACATTAAATGATATGAGGTTTAGAACTGAATTGCATTTAATTTGATTATTTAACATTTTGTATAAAAACATCATAAAAACATAAAAAAAAAACATAAAAACATCTTAATCAACTTAACGTAACATAGGGTTCGTGATTCTGACATGGTGGAGGGTAGGCTTAGAAATATAAAGGATAATAACTAGATTTTCCTCTTCTTTTCAGTGGAAATTTCACACCAAGTTTCAACAACGGAACCCAAATTAATCGTCACCAACCCAGAATGCTACGAGGCTGTCGTCAAGGGGTTAGCAATTGCCAAAAACAATGCCAAAATTGTCTTGGTCGATGGACCTGACGCCAAAATTCCTGAAGGTGTTATTAGATATTCGGAAATTGCTGAAAAAGGAGAAGTGGATTATAAGTTCCTGGATACTATAGAAGTAAAGTTAGAAGATACAGCATTTATACCTTTCTCGAGTGGCACAACAGGGCTGCCTAAAGGTGTAGATATTTCGTATAAGAATTTGCTGGCTGCAATTGAAATAATGCAAAATAAAAATCATTGTTTCCCGCAACTTGCTCATGGTAAGATTCCAAATATGTTTTTCTAAGCTCAAAAGCTTGTCAAGTCAAGACTTGTTTTTTACACAAGCATTTGAAATATCATCCGATGACCTTAAAAAAGCCTCTGGTGTTAGCTAAAATTGGTTTATTATGCTTTCGTAACTTGATTACTAATCGAAATTTTGCAATTTATCTATTATAGTAATTTTGAGTCTATCGAGTGGAGATGACAAAATAATGAAATACGGTGGTTGAAACAGGTCGCAGCTTTGCTTTGGTAGAATATGAACCCAATTTATTTACATTAATAATAATATGTTTGTGTATAGAAGAGACTATTGTTAACATTGTTCTTTGCCATACAAACATTGAACATTTATATTCTAAGTGCGCTATTTCGTAATGAAGCGAAGTAGATTTTTTAATAATACCAAGTGACGATGACGGGACGAACAAGGCGTGCGCCTGGTGGCAAAGCGACGCGCCTATCCATGATAGTTGTAGTGTCACTCAGAGCTTTAAATCACAAAGATGTTAGGGGCACTGTCACTGCGCCCGTCACCCTGAGACGAGTAGACAAGTCGCATGTGCCTGTAATTTCACCAGCACCCTTACTCTTCCGAACCGAAACATAGTAATGCTCACATTACTGCTTGGTGGAAGAAATAGGTAAGGTGGCAGTACTTCCCTGGACAAACTCTTTACTTTAGTCCTACTGCTACTAATTTCAAGAGATTTTGGACTATAAGTGCGCCCATAATAATAAATATTAGACAACATGACATACGTTGCTCTGATCCCAAAGTAAGTAACTAAAACATTTGTGTTATGGAAATCGGAAACAACGACGGTGCCACAAACACCCAGACAAAATTTGGAACGTTAGACTTTCTACATTGGCCCGGCCGGGGATCGAATCTGGGATCTCCGAGATGGTAATGAATGGAATCCGGTGTGCAACTCGATCGTGAAATAAACACAAACCGATTGGTTTCAAAAATAACATACCTATTCTGTTTGCGTCAGCGGTATAAAGGTCGAAATGACTTTATTGACAATATAATTATCAAATTTTTATCATCAGTATTGTCGCATTTATTTTATTTATTACTACAGAAATTGTAAGTTGTATACGTTTTTATTGAAGACTTCATGTATCACCCATCGTCGGGGATAGTGCAAATCCGCGCATGTAGCATTGGTAAAAGGCGCGTATCTGCTCTAAATCAAATATTTCGAGAGGGATTTAACATGATTACTTTGTTATTTCAATGGCTACGACTTTCATTTTGCACGGTAAGCATTAATTTTTGTTGTCTACGGACTGATAACACGGATTCCCATAAATCACGCTAATTTGGTTGTCACGACATATACGCGGATTTGATTTGGCCACTAAATTACCGAAATAGGAAGTCATAATCCAATGCTAGTTACGTAATTGTACTATTCCCGACGCTATGCCACTAATATACAAAAATTAAACTCTGTTGTAACATAAAAACTGGTTTAGCCAATGTGGAGGTTAGCGTGCACAAATGCTTTACGCAAGTTAATTAACTACTTAGCAAAGTGTTCGAAGGATAGTAAATTATCTGCATTTAAAGCTTTTTGTTAATTCCTTTATACGTGTCAACTGTGGACAAGGTACACACGGAGTCTACTGTGTCATCTATGATAGCGAAGGCATTTCCGATATTTTCGATTTTGCGTAACAAATTTACATTAACGACTGTTGCTTTCGTCAAATAAATTTATTATTAATAATAATAGTAGTCGAATAGAAAATTTAACTTGGGAATGTATTTAATATTTCAATATTTTTTACGTACCTACATACCATCAGGCGCAGATGTAACATGTAAATTTGATCAGATATCGTCGGGGATAGTGCAATTACGCGTAACTAGCATACGTAATGGAGTTGCTATTGCGGTAAGTTAGTGGCCAAACCAACTCCGAGTCAACGTTGTGGCAACCAAATTAGCCTGATTTACTGGAATCTATTGTTATCACTCCGCAAATAACTTAAATTAATGCTTACTGTGCAAAAATAAAAGTCGTAGCCATTGGAATAACAAGTAATAACGCTTAAACCCTCTACTGTAAAATTTGATCCCGTGAAGATACGCGCCTTTTACCAATGCTACATATTTACGCGCTTTTGCACTTTTCCCGACGATCTTCCCCTGTATTAGTTTTACTATTTGCATAGATCCTTCCAACCACACACAGACGCTGTGGCAAGAAACTACCACGGCTCTCGCATTGTTTGTACTTCCAGTCTAACTCGTCTATACCAGCAGGCTATCCTAACTATGTGGAAAAGAAATATATTATATTATTTACTTTTTCATGTAAAAATAATGTTACTAAACAGCGATTGAAATAATTTATTAAAAGATGATTTCAAAATCTTTCAGGTGACTTTCAAGACGTTGTCCCCTGCGTCCTTCCCTTCTTCCATATCTATGGCCTCGTGGTGACGCTGATCGGCCATCTGTCCATGGGCTGCAAGCTCATTACGTTGAACAAGTTTTCAACTGGACTCTTCTTTGACGTTCTTAGCAGAGATAAAGTCAGCTTGCTGTATGTTGTTCCACCTATTGGTAAGTGTATTTTAATATTATTATAAGATTGCATACATTTCTACGCACAACTACTTGTTTGCACGTTAAGATATCGTACTGGAATCTAGTTATGTATGTAAATTATCAAAGTCAGAGTGTATGTTAATTTTTTGGACGACTGTCGTCATATTGTCGCCGCTTAAAGGAATCCCTACATTTATTGCCGCCGAGCTTAACATTATAACATTCAAAACATTCTTACTTCAGCATGGGCACAACATATTGATGGAAAGGCGCCATGTACAGTCGTTGAATGTCCGTTATTAACCAATAAGTCGTAAAATTAATTTTGATACGACTTCCGCATTGCATAATTAATGAATCACGTTTTAAGAAACTTAAGCTAATTTGATTTTTAGTTACTTGGTACTTGGTACTTGGTGCAACGGGCTGGTATCCGCAACTCGACGACAAAGCGCCTATTTTGCGTGTGGTGGGTGCAGGGTCCTACTCGTGCCACCCAAGCTCCTCCAGGAATCTCAGCAGCCTCCTTGGTTTGCTGAAGACTTCGGGGAGCGACCTTGGCACTCCAAGGTATTTTGCCCTGTAGTTGGCCACGCCGGAGCACTGAAGTAGGATGTGCGCAGCCGTTTCCTCCCCCTCCATGCACGCTCTGCATAGAGGGCTGTCTGTGATACCTAAATTGAAAAGGTGTTTATTATATGGACCATGACCCGTTAGGGCGGCAGTTAGAGTGCGAAGCTCTTGCCTTTTAAGTTTAATTAGTATTCGAGATAGACTGGCATTGAGCGTTGGGAGTGCTTCCCTCGCCTGTCTACAAACCGTAAGGGTGGTCCATGTATTATTATGTGAAGATTTTGTACCTTTGTGTATAGTTGTTCTAGACCATTGGGAGGGGAGGGACACTATCGGTTCTGGTCCTACAGCGTCCGTCTCCGACCCTTTCCTGGCTAGTTCATCTGCTGCATCATTGCCACGTGAGCCGCTGTGTCCTTTAATCCACTGAAGAGTTACGTGGTTTTGTATACATACCTCCATGAGTGCTTGATGGCATTCGTAAATGAGCCCTGAGTTTATGTCATAGCTATTCAGTGCTTGAAGTATTGACATACTGTCGGAGAGTATTCGAATGGAGTAGTTCTTTACTCTTCTCGCTATGATTGCTTCTGCTGCCAACTTGATGCCCATGCATTCAGCCTGGAATACTGTGTTGTGGTCACCAAGCGGTGCTGATATCCTGATATTGAGGTCTTCTGAGAATACCCCAGTACCTGTTCCTGAGTTTGTTTTAGATCCGTCGGTGAAGACTCGGACCTCTCTGGGGTTCAGTCCTTCGTTGGGATCTTCAAATAATTGTATCTTATATTTCTTGTCAAAGATGTATTGTTTTGGGATCCTATCCACAACCGCCTCCAGTAGCGGTTCCTCATTGACAGACTTGTAGAGGATTTCTGTATGTGGGGTCCTCATGTGCTTCCAGAGGCCGGCTCTGTTTAGACGCACTGCTGTTGACGCCGCTTCCTGTCTGATGAACAGTGGGAGGGGTCGAAGGTCCAGCATCGCTTCGAGGGCCGCAGTTGGAGTTGTCCTCATGCAGCCCGTCGTCGCCATGCACGCTAGTCTTTGGAATTTGTCCAGTTTGTCGGTTGCGGTCGTCAGCTTGGTTCGTGGCCACCATACTATCGCGCCGTAACTGATCATGGGTCTTATCACCGCAGTGTAGAGCCATAGTGTAATCTTGGGTGAAAGTCCCCATTGTTTACCCACCATTCTATGGCACTGCCAGAAGGTGATAGTGGCTTTTTTAATTTTGTTGTCCATATGTTTGTTCCAGTTCAACTTGTTGTCCAGTATTACTCCCAAGTACTTGACTTCGGTTGATATCTGTAGTTCTGTGCTGAAGAGTTTGGGTAATCGGTAGTTACCTAGTAGTCGTTTGTTGGTAAACATTACTAGTTCCGTCTTTGTTGGATTTACCGATAGTTCATATGCTCTGCACCATCTTTCCACAATTTGGAGAGCCGCTTGTGTAATGTCGCAGAGTGTATTGGCATAGTTTCCTGTTACCAGTATAGCTATGTCATCAGCATATCCTATTGTATAGAAATGTTCTTTGTTGAGTTTAATGATAAGGTCATTTACGACCATGTTCCACAGCAGAGGCGACAATACCCCTCCTTGAGGGCACCCCTTCGCTACTATTGCCCATGGGGTCTCATTTGCTGTTGTTTTTATTGTTCTTTGTTTCAGCATGTTGCTAATCCAGCTAATTAGCACTTCATCTACGTTGTGTCTTCTCATTGCTGATTGTATGCTGGAGAAGTTCGTTTTATCGAAGGCTCCTTCAATATCTATAAAGGTGCCTAGGCAGATTGCTTTGTCTTTAAGGGCCACTTCTATCTTGCCCACAACGGCGTGTAGGGCCGATTCAGTGGATTTGCCTTGGCTGTATGCATGTTGGTTACCATGTAATGGAATGTTCTTAAGTGCTCCATCCCTCAGTTCTCTGTCACATATCCTTTCTAATGTCTTCAAGAAGAATGATGTGAGGCTAATAGGTCTGAAGGACTTCGCGTCAGTGTAGTCGGGTTTTCCTGGTTTCGGTATAAATATGACTTTTACCTCTCGCCAGCTGTGGGGCACATAGCTGAATGCTAGACAGGCCCGAAAGATGTTGACCAGGTGCTGGACCAGTGTGTCCCCGCCCCATTGTAGGAGTGCAGGGAATACTCCATCTTGGCCCGGAGCTTTGTATGGTTCAAAGGTGTTTACTGCCCATTTTGTCTTTTCGTATGTCACTACTTGTTCTGCGTATCGCCAGTTATGGATCGATGTAGTGTAGTTCATTTCTACACACCTGTCGTCTTGGACGAACCTACATCCTGGGAAATGTACTTCCAGTAGGGTTCTTTCCGTTTCCGCAGGGGAGGTTGTGTATGTGTTATCTATTTTGCGTATTGAACCTAGCTCAGTTGAATGTGAGTTGCCTAGGATTTTCCTTATTCTGTTTGCTTGTGCGCTAGACGTGATGTTCCCGCAGTAGCCTCGCCATGACGCGGAGCTCCTGAACCGTATGCGCTTTTTTAGTTTGGATTTGGCCGTCTTGTAGTTTTCCCAATCCTCATCCGCGCATGTGTTCATTGCTCTATTGAACTGTCTCCTTACCCTTCTTCGTAGCCTCTCAAGCTCAGGCCCCCACCAGTGCTGGCCTTGTCGCGGGGCTGCGTCACTCAGTGGGCATGCGGAGTTATAGCTGTTCAATATGTTTGATGTTAGTTCTTTAACCTGTGTTTCTATCTGTGCTGTGCCCAGTAGTCTTCCCGGTGCTCCCGGTTCTCCCAGGTTCTGGTGCAGTTTGACCGTGTATAGTTTACGATCGGTTTTTCTGGGATTCCGTTTCGGTTGTTGTTCTTTAATGGCTGTTTCTAGGCTGAATCTTATCCATCTGTGGTCCGAGAAGGATGCTTCTTCGGACACGTGCCAGTTGTGGATAAGGTCCACTGCTCCTTCTGACGCTAGGGTCAGGTCTATAATAGTTCTACATCTTTTATTTATAAAAGTTGGTACTATACCTTTATTAAGGATTTGAAGGTTAGTTGTGAATAAGTATTCTGTTAGGCTCTTACCTCTATCATTTGCGAGATCCATGCCCCACAACGGATGGTGGGCATTGGAGTCAGTAGCCACGACGATATTCTGGCCGTTCTGCTCGCAGTAGTTGATTAGCTGAACCATTTCCTGCGGTGGTGGCACATCAGTCTCCGCCATATAGACAGAGGCGAGCACCACTTCAGGCAGACCCGTGGCCGCGTCTGCTAAAAGCTTTACGGCACACAGGTCTCTGGAACAGAATTCAGTTAGTGGCTGTACATGTAAGTTATTCGAGTAATATATGCAAGTTCTAGGTTTATCTGAGATGGTAGTCGATAGTAGCTTACCTCTCAGGTGTGAGAGTCCATTTATTTGGCCACGGGCACTAATCCACGGTTCCTGGATTAGTGCCATGGCTGTGTTGTTAGCCTCCAACCATTTCCGGAGCTGAACCGTTGCGGCCTGGCTGTGGTGGAGGTTGCTCTGGACGATGTGTAGTTTACTGAGCGAGGGGGAAACCGCCATCAGAAGATAGCAGCTCCTCGTCCACGTCCTCGCTCAGTCGGATGTCTCCCATCCCCAACACACACTCGTCGTCGCTGCTGGTCGCCACCGGTTTGACAGCGACGTCCGCAGAGACGGGGGTCGAGGAGGGCCCTTCACCTTCTCCGGGAATATTGGAGGAGGTGGAGGGCTCCGGGGAGACGTCCATCCGCGTCGCTGATGTGCCCGTCTTCTCGGGTGGCACATCGGTGTACAGGCCCCTCTTTGATCTGAACCTGAGGTAGACCGTGCCCAACTGGAAGGTTAGGCGCCGGCCATGCCCCAGGACAGCGGGGACGAGTTCCTCTGGGAGGCTCACCACTACGAAAGAGTTGTCACTGTGCTGCTGCAGCTTGTGAACAACCCAGCGGTGTGCCTCCGCCCACGGGTTTTGCCACTTGAGGATGCGGCCGATTCGACGCGCATCCTCCCAGTGACCAGGGATGAGTAGTCCGCAGACCACCCTCCGGGGAGCCTCCACCCCATTTTTCAATGAGAGGGGCTCCCCGGATGGCAGCCTGATGGTGCTAAGGGCATCCTCTAGCCACTGGAAGGTGGCTACAGGATGTGGTAACACCACAGTTTCAGGGACCCGTCACTGTAGACAGGTTTACCACGAAACTGTGGGCCGACGTCCTCCTCGCTGCACTCCTCCGCTCCTTGCGAGAGGAGCTTACATAGGGCCACCTGTACCATGTCGGCATCGGGGCTCCGTATGTAGCCAGTTTTGGCTGATGTGATTACCGCCATGAGTTCAGGCCTGGTGGCCTCGGCGTAAGTGCGTTGCTCGGCGGGCCTCTCAACCTTTTGCCGCTTGTGCTCGCCTCTAGGAGATATGGTCTCGTCAAGGCGGGCACGTTTGGCAATGGTCGAGGACCTCTGCC